CCCCCCATCCCTGGATGTCCACGAGGGAGACAATGCAACTCTCCACTGCCGTTACGAAGTGGCTAGCTTCCAAGGCCTATATTGGTATAAACAGAAAGAGAAAGCTACCATATTTCTGTGTAGGCTAATTACAAGTGATTTTGATTCAGGAAAAATAAAAGGCACCATAGACAAGACAGAACGTCTCAGCACCCTGCATATCACAGCCACCCAGATGGAAGACTCAGCTACCTACCTCTGTGCACTGGAGGCACAGTGCTCTCTAGTCACCTGCAGCCAGTACCAAAATGCTACAGCTGAGCATCCTGCAACTGTTAGATGGAGAACTTGCTAAATTGGTCATGCGCTCATGAGTAAGCTGTAAGGAAGCATCAGACAGACTGACAAACCTCAGTGGGAAGGTGATGGGTGGGCGGGGGGTGGTAAGGGGGAGAAGAGGTCAACCAAAGGACTTTTATGCATGCATATAAGCATAACCAATACACACAGACATTAGGGGGGACTGACCAGACTGGCTTAGGCCCACTCCCCGTAGGGGAGGTCCGTGGGGGGAAAAGGAGACATGTAATACTATATGTAATACTTTAATCAATAAAGAAAAATATTTTTAAAAAGCTGTAAGGAAAAACAACTATTGGTCAAGATCCCCATGGCCCTGTTGACAATTACTTATGCAGTTTACTGAGTCCTAACTCAAACTGAGTCACATCACTGTATTCACCACCTTTCCTGTGCTTTCTAGGGGAGTCAGCGAGGCTAATGTTTTTAGCAGGTCACTCATATGATTCCAACTCCACGACCATGTCATTATGCCCCGTGGCAGAAAGAAAGTCCTTTTACTGGCAACTGCTATGTGCACCACCCACCATGGATTCTGCCCGACAGCATGGATGTGTTACCTGTGAAAGCAGTAAGTTCTTTTGCGGTGATGTGAGAAAAGAACTTCAAAGGCACATGGGTGGAGAAGTTTAAACCTGAGGGCAATACTTTATCGTGAATTAAGGGGAATTAATACACCCTCGGGGACCTAAAGGTCAGACAGGCTCTAAGGCACTGCCATGAGTCTTTAGTTAATCCTCCATATATCTTCTTGGTTTAGTTAAAAGAACAAAGTACCATTCAAACTATCCAATCCAAATTCCTAACTTTTCCTGGGCCTGGATTAGACCCTCTTCCCAGTAAATTCCATTGGGGTTCATGCTCTCTACCCAATCCGATTGTCCCCAGGCTAGACTCTCCCCCTCTGTTTTGTCACCCTGATGTTCAGCGTGCATGACCAAAAGTTTCATTACATCATCTAGCCCCTGATGCACATGCACCCAGTGTAGGCATTTCCTCCTCTCCCTCTGGTACTGGGCCTTGAGCACTCCCCCACCCCCATGAGATTTCATGTCCCATTCCCAGGATTAAGTCTCCTAGTTGGCAGTTTCCTGGCTGTGAATGAGTCCATTTACCAGTAAACTAGATGGGATTCTGCTCTGTTATCTGCTTCTGCTTCTCAGTTTATTAATATTATTTAGTTCCCTTTTGCTTTCTTCCTTGTATTAATAACTAGCTACCTGCAATGCCAGATGGCTAAAAAGTCCTGTTTATTTTTGGTTTTATCTTTCCACCTAGGATTGACACAGTTATAGGTAGAGTTCTGCCTGCAACTTTTCTTGCTGGACCTATTAGCAAAGAGCAAAGGGTGGAGCTCTGGTTGGTGTGGCTTAGTTGTTGGGCATTGTCCCGGATTGGAGAGGGTGCTGGCCGGGTTGAGGGGCCCGCCCCCAGGCACAAGTTTTGTGCACTGAGCCTCTAGTTTATATATGAAATAGAAGTGGGAAATCCTGTATAAGTCACCGCTTTACTACTCCCCTCTGATATCTCTCAGTCCATACTACGTATCCAGGCCTCTGGTTCTGTTTTGTTCGTCAGTTTATTTTGTTCATTAGATTCCACATACAACTGATCATATGGTATTTGTCTTTCTCTGACTGGCTTATTTTGCTTAGCATAATAATTTCAGGTCCATGCATGCTGTTCCTTCCTTTTTACAACCACATAGTATTCCATTGTATAAATACCAGTTATTTTGTTATCCACTCATCTACTGAAGGGCAACTTGAGCTGTTTCCAGAATTTAGCTATTGTAAACAACGCTGCTATGAACATAGGGGTGCATATATTCTTTCTGATTGGTGCTTCGGGTTTCTTAGGATATATTTCCCAGAAGTGGGATAACTGGATCAAACAGCAGTTCCATTTTTTATTTTTTGATAAAAAACCCTATACTATTTTCCACAGTGGCTGAACCAATCTGCATTCCCTCCAAAGTGCACTAGGGTCCCCTTTTCTCCACATCCTCACCAGCACTTGTTATTTGCTGATTTATTGATGATAGCCATCCAGGAAGGTATAAGGTAAAAAACAACAACAACAAAAAAAAAAACACAGGAAAAAAGGAAGGTGTAAGGTAAAAAACAACAACAACAACAACAAAAAAAAAAACACAGGAAAAAGAAAGAGAATGTATTTATTTTTTCATGTGAAGACCTAGGGAGGAAAGATTTGGAAGCAGACTAATGACTCTACAGGTGACCATCATTAATACACTAGGTATGTTCCTCAAAAGTTATATATAAACTGGATTTTTATCTCCCACCCTTAATTCTCAACATTTATATAGTACCAAAGCAGAAAAATAAAAATCACAGTTCCAACTCTTATTTGCTGTCAAAGTCATCCTATCCCCAGCAATGTACAGTCAACATGCCCTCCAATGTTCCCATACACAATACCTGTTAGAGACTTAATCTCCAATGTACTAAATGCATAGTGAGGTATGAGTGCCTACCTGATGACTTATTATAAATTATAAAAAATGTTTGAAATGTATTAAATTCACATCCATGCTTTCTTCATTATATACCCCATGTTAAATTCATGTCGTTGGTAAAGGAAGTCATATTATTTTATCTGCTTTTCAATCTGTTAAAACACTTCATAATTTTAGGTGTTTCTTTCACACATCGTAGGGAGGGGTCTTATGGAGGGTTCTCCCTCACAGGAAACAGTGTGGCATTCACAGCAGCTGAAGCCAGGCCTCGTGAGACTTCCTGCCTAGAGGCTGAATGCAGTGTCTGTCTGTGACAAGCTGGCACCAGGGGTTTTACCTGGATGGTCTCACTATCACTCTTGGCTGCAAGAGCTCATAAGGAGAAGAGCGGGTCCTCTTCTCCCCTAGCAGATGACTGTGTAAATTGTTATGAATTGCAACCCACGAATTCCACAAGAGAAATTTTCCTAAGGAGAAAATCCACCAACAGAAAAACAAGAAACATGAAATTCAAGGTATTGTATCCCAAATTATAAAACAACTTAAATATTCAGCCATAGGGTTGAGTCATCAATTTGCTAGTGTGTTAAAAGCAAATAAAAACTTTAAGATATGAAGATTAGAAGTGATATAATAAGCATTTATAGAGTAATATTAAGTTAAAGAAACAGAACAAGGCCACCACCCTATTCTACTAGTGTTCTTAGTCTAACTCCCATTGAAGTGACTGTGTTTTTTCCTTGAAGTTTTCCTCTAAGCAATTATGTTTGTTATTCAATGAGGTTTTTAAGGTTCTTCTTACCATCTTCTTTTTTTCTCCTTGCCTGGCGCACCAGGATCCAGAATATCCCATATCTCTTCACAGTATCACCTGAAAGTCCTCAAGAAATATACTCAAAAATTAAACGTGCCAGGCCCTGAGCTTATATCTCAAAACACATGTATATGGAACCACGACGGAAAGTCCTCTGTCATGACCAAACCTCCTTTGGAGAGTTTGAGCACTTGTCTTTGCGCTTTTTGTGAGCTGCACAAGGGGGGCGTTTACAAAACATGATTCTGCTTAGTTCAGGTGGACATGGAGCCAAATTCTGAGATGCTACAAAGGGGTCTTGGCCAAGACTCCTAAGTGACTACACAGAAAGGAAAGCCTTCTGGAATCCACTCCAGTGTCCTACACACAATGAGTATTCAATAAATGAAAGTTCAATTTTTTACTACATTGTACCTAAAGGGCTCTTTTCACAAATGCCATTTCAGGCATTGATGCCAATTAAAACTGAAGTCTCCATGACTAGCAGATCCTCCCACCCACAGCTCATCAGACCAAAAGTGCCCCTCTCCTCTGTCTAGACACAAAGCTAGTCTGCTATTTCAGGCCGTGCCCTCCTCCTGTCCTCGTTTTCTCTTTTCCTTTTCTTCTTTTTAAAAAATCATTTTGACAGGTCTAGCTAAACTTTCAAAAGAAAACATTGGTGGGACTCTTCTTTCCTTTGTTTGTTTTTTTTCAAGAAGATTCCTGAAAAATAAAAAATTTGGTAAGTCTTCCCCCAGCTGGTTCACTCTGGCTCATGGATATGAAGAGCTTACAATTTATAAGTGACTCAGCTGTTGAGGAGAGCTTCTTTTTCATTGTTTCTACTGTAATAAGAACCAAACAAATTTACATCTCAAAAGAGGAACTTCTCACCAAAATAAATACATAATTCTTATTACAAGATTAATATTAATTTGTTGTAAAAGAAAAAGAAAATGAAAAAAATAGCTATATGCCTGGCCAGTATGGCTCAGTGGTTGAGTGTTGACCTATGAACCAAGAGATCACTGGTTAGATTCCCAGTCAGGGCACGTGCCAGGCTTGCAGTCTCAATCCCAGGTGGGTAACATGAGGGAGGCAGCCAATGAATGTATCTCTCTCATCCAGTTTCCTCTTTGTCTCCCTCTCTCTTCCTTTCTCTAAAAAATGGATTAAAACATACTTTACAAGAAGAAGGTATGTGTTGAAAAATATAAACAGCTATAAGCTCAACCTACAGTAATTACCACTGTTAACTGTTTAGCATTTATACTTTACCTGTGCTCATAATAAATTAAAAAAAAAAAGTCTAGAGAGATGTGAGGCACTGACATTATTTCAAACAAAAAAAAGTGTTTCTGGAAGTCACTGAAAAAGAGTATTTCTGTTCCTTCAGGGGGAAAAAAAATCTCCTAATGTAATTCAGTTGAGCTCCTCCCATTTCTGACCTGTGAGTCATGATAAACCCTCCAGGGAGCTCCTGCTACTGACTCGATCTCCCACAGACACTGTCAGTCTGAAGCATCCACTGAGTAATGTGAGTTCATCCAGGAGGAATCCACAAGAAATGATGAATATCCAGTTTATCTTCACCTCACTCCTAGCCCTGGCCCTCTCAGGTGAGTGACCGTCCTGCATACCCAGTTGCCCTCCTGGGCCTGACAGCTAGACTGACACTTGGCTGCTGTGTGTTTTATGTTGCAGGGCCTGGGGGAGCAGACTGGATCAAACCCCAGGAGACAGAAGTGTCTGGAACAGAGGGAGAGAGTGTGAAGCTCCTTTGTAATTATGGTACCTCATCTAGAGGTACTTTTGATCTCTACTGGTTTCGACAGTACCCAAACCAGGCACTGGAATTTATTCTCTACAGAGGGTGGGGATACACTGGAAAAGGAGACGCCGAATTTGCCATAGGAAAGTTTTATTCAGACAGTTCCGCAGATACAACAAATTTGTACTTCAGAAAATTGGAGTTTGCAGACACTGCCCGGTATCACTGTGCTCTGAGAAAGCCACGCTGAGAGCTCTGCATAGAGCAGCTGTACAAGAACACCAGCGCATGGGAGGAAGGAGAATGCAGCACCCAGCATCACACGGACTTTTGTGTTGGTTTGTTTGGGAGATGCAGCAAAGTACTGAGGAGATGTTGGTTCAGGAGACTTCTGTTCTAACTATATAACAGTTATATAATTGCTAGGCAAATAAATAGCTTAAGTTTTTTAAATTGCCATTTCCTGAAATTAAAGATAATAACTCTTCAAGCTGTTACGAGGCATGGCTTTAAAGTGCATGTGCTGGATACTCAGCAAATGGGAGGTATCTTTTATTCTCTTTCTCAATAACTTCTTTCTTTGGTCTCTGGGGGCCTTTCTGTGAGTATCTGAGGATTTCTTTCCCACCACACTGGCAAAAATATTAATCATTAAAGACCTAACAATACACATGCAAGACTCAGACAAGGCCTCTTTGACCACAGACCCCTGGTCATCACGCCAGAGTCTGAAAGGTGTGCTCAGCAAGGCCAGGCACTGGAGGACAAAGGGGCCTTGAAGCCCTCCCTCATGGCTGAGCTCCCAGCCACGGGCACTTGGGATTTCTCAGGATGTGAACAAGAGCAGAGGCTCATTCTCACAAGTCTGAAGGGAAGGGGGAAAGCAAGAGGTTGTGCATTAGGTGGTGCTGAGGACAGGGAAATCGCCTCAGTGACTGTTACCTGCTCCTGAAGCAGCTCTTCCCTTTCCAGGTGGAGATGAGAGGCCAAGTGAGGTGGACCTGGGGCTGACTGCTGGAGCCAGAGGACACCTGCCACCGATTCCAATGATTCCAACCATGCTTCTCACGGACTGCCAGCATCCAGCAGACCTGTGCCAAGGCTAGCTTCTTTGTCTGCACTGATGTTAATCCGGATGCGTGGAATCTGGGGCTGACTGCTGCAGCCAGAGGACAACTGCCACCGATTCCAATGATTCCAGCCATGCTTCTCACGGACTGCCAACATCCAGCAGATCTGTGCCAAGGCTAGCTTCTTTGTCTGCACTGATGTTAATCCGGATGGAAGAGAGGAAGGAAGATTTAGAGCAGGGGTCCTCAAACCATGGCCCACGGGCCACATGCAAATACATATATTGTATGTGTTCCCATTTTGTTTTTTTAATTCAAAATAAGATATGTGCAGTGTGCATAGGAATTTGTTCATAGTTTTTTTTTAAACTATAGTCTAGCCCTCCAACGGTCTGAGGAACAGTGAGCTGGCCCCCTGTTTAAAAAGTTTGAGGACCCCTGATTTAGAGACTCATTCAGCACAAAGTCTGCTGCACCACCAGCACCTTATGGCTTCCAGGCTGCAAACCACGGGCTTCTGCAGTTCCAGGAGAAGCCTGACCCAGCCTCACTGCCTGAGGAATGATTGCACCAACCAGGAACAGGGGCTAGGAAGCAAGACAGCAAGTCAGATTTTAAACAGTGCTTTCTTCTACAAAGAGAAACTTGAGTCAAAATAAAAGTTGAGAAATACTGTAGCTAGAAAATAAATTTCAAAGTTCTGTTTAAAGTTACTTAAAAAATGAATTGTGGGGAGTCTGGTGTTCAAGAGGCATAAAATGATTTATGGAGAATGATAAAAAACTTCCCGTAGCTTCTGTGTGTGGGCAATTGTTAATTTTATATTGTGTTGGTAGCAATATAATGTAGTCGTACAACCCTCTGCATTGTGACCTATACAACCTCTTACATAGTGATCTACTTGGGAAGGGATTTTAAAATTCATTACATAGTTCATATCATATCTTTTATTTATCAGAATTTACATAGAACACTAATTTTAAAGAGAAAAACAGCCTTTGGGCAAGAAAAATCACTACTAAAATTTTTTTCAGCTTTTACAGGAATCTGAATGCTGTACAACCATTTCAGGTGCTGGTTAGTAAAAATAAGAATGTTGAAATGCTCTTCACATAGAGTTAAGTAAAATAAAGAGCACATATTGGTAACCATTCTAAGCTTACATTCATATTAAACAAGTGCTCAGCACTGCAAATATTATGCAGGTAATCCAACTTAATTTCTCTCTTGGTTTCTGTAACATGCAGGTGGGAAGATATTTCCAGTGATTTTTCAAAGTTCAGGAGCCTCCAGGAATGGAGGGTTTTCTGTGAATTTGCAGAAAGCAGCTGGACTGTCTATCTCACCATCTCAGCTGTGAGGCCAGGAGTCTAGGGGGGTGGGGTGGGTATTTCTGTGCCCTCAGAATGCCAGCAGTAAGAGGAACAATAAAACTGTAAGGACAAAACCTCAGAGCTTGTACCCCATTCACCTGCTACAGGCACCAGGGGAAGACCCATAGACCCCAAACGGAAAAGCTTAGGAACTGTGGGCCGCTTAAGTGAAGCCTGAAACTGCATGGGTAACAGTGCTTTAGGCAAACCTATCGTCATGTACAGTCGCCAAATATTTTCAATCCACAGTCCTGAATTTCACTCTCACATTTAAATGTAGCAGATTTTTGTAGAACAGTCTTATCTTTTAATCTAATTATTTCCTTTTTTCTTTAAACTTCTAATATATTCATATTATAAAAGCAATACTGCTTATTATAATAAATGAAACAATACAAAGATATATGAAGAAAAAGTTAATCCCCACTCACCCTAATAAGCTGGTGAGTGGCCTCACCATTATTCTACCTCATTTATTTTTAATTTTTACTTTTTCAAAATACTTTTATTGATTTCTGAGAGGAAGGTAGAGGGAGATAAAGATAGAAACATCAATGATGAGAGAGAATCATTGCTCGGCTGCCTCCTGCACATCCCAAACTGGGGATACAGCCCTCAACCCGGACATGAGCCCTCACCAGGAATGGAACCGTGACCTCCTGGTTCATAGGTCTACTTAACCACTGAGCCATGCTGGCAGGGCCTAACTCATTTGTTTTAACTAATGTCTATTTGTCCACAGTATGGATGAACTATGATCTTTTGGACTATTTCTTTATTGATAGATATTCCTGTTTGTCAGATTAGGACTATTGTTGTCATAAATAACTATAGGTAGATTAGCACAGTTTATATATTTAGGATAGATTCCTGAAAGTTGGGTTAGTGGATTAAAGGATAACTCTATATTTATTTTTAACAGACATACCTGTATTACATTCAAACAAACTTAAAGCATTTCATACTCTCACTAGTAACATGTATGAATTTTCTGTTTCCTTCATTCTCACTAGTTTTGTAGATAGCACTGCACCCTGGCCGGTGCTCAGTTTGTTGGATCATCATCCCATACACCAAAAGGTTGTGGGTTCCATTCCTGATCAGGGCACATACCCAGGTTGTAGGTTCAATCCGGGTATGGGAATGGGTATGGGAGACAACTGATTGATGTTTCTCTCTCCCTTCTTCTCTCACTCTTTAAACCAATAAATAAATATATTCCAGTGAGAATTTAACAAGCCAGAGGGAGACAGAGAGAGCACTGTGTTTCTGAAACCACTGAAGGAAATATGTAACTTAATCCAATTAAGGCCTTTGTATAAATTTTTAAGATTCTGTTGGCTGGGGGTTGAGATCTGGTCTCGAGGCCACTGAAAACAAAACCTCCTCTGTAAGTTCCTTTTCTTATTAAACCTGTCACGCATCTAGCATAATCTTTCGCTTCTGTCTCTCCTTGCCCTCCATG